GTTTTATTTGTGAAGAATATTATTATTTGATATTATATAAAAATATAATTGATTGATTAATATAAAGATCACATTTTTAAATAATTAATTGAACCCTTTACAATCTCAGTGTTTCGTTTATAAAATTAAATAACATAATTTGAACTTTATTGAAACATAAGAAACTTCTATAATGTTCTTGATAAATTTCAATTATCAGAAATAGATTTTCTTATATAAAAATATCATTGATCGATTAATAAAATAAAAATCAAATTTTAAAATAATTAATTGAATCCTCGACAAACCTCCCCCTCCCCCTCCAAGTTTTCTTATCAAATTTCATAATATAATTCGAACACCTAATAATCAATCAATCAAAAACAAACAAACAAACTTAGATATAACTTAACACGTCTCATAATTATCTAAATAATGAAACGTTGAAATAAATTGAAGACATTTCGTGCAATCATATCTGTCTTCGATTGAAGAAAACTCTTTCATAATTTACATTTAAGTGTTAAAATCATTCGAAAGATTTACACAATATTCTGTCGTCGGTCAATTAATATTATAACAAATGATTTTTCATCAATTACCATTAGAAAAAACAAAAAAAGAAACCCCTCTATTAATCATCGTCATTTAACTGGTCCTTTTGACAATGAATATTATTTCCTTTGTATAAAAATAAAATAATAATAATAATAATAATAATAATAATGAAAACACTTAAATGAGAAAATCTACAAATATCAAAAAGTGGTCGTCGTTGTCGTTGTCGTGTGACTTACATTAGAAACACACACAAATACACATACACACACACATATACACAAAAAACATACGACACATGTAGTATAACTATTTTCCTCTTTCTCTTTCTCATTTGAAATCTAGAACGAAGATCGCCAATGTTATTTCCGTCGCGGTTGTAAACAGGAGAGAGAAAGAGAAAGAAAGAGAGAGAGAGAGAGAGAGAGAGAGAGAGAGAGAGAGAGAGAGAAAATTAGAGGAAGGGGTGGAATAAGACGGTGAGTTTTAACGAGACGACATTTTAATTAGATCCTCGGCTTAGCTTTTGCAAACCGATGCCTGTTAGTTGATCCACCTCCTCCTCCTCCCCCTACCACCACCCCCCAGACTGATGCTAAAACTAGAGAAGAGAGAAAGAGGAAGAAGGAAACAACATGCATTTGGCATCGTCGAGAAAGTATTCCGCGAAGATATTTGAATTGACTTTTACAAATGTTTTAAATTATATTTGCATTTTTTTCTCTCGTGGTATATTAAAGTAATATTTTTTTTTAATGGATATTTATTATACTAAGATTATTATTGTTATTATTATTATTATTATTTCATGATATATTGTTATTTGTTGTTGATTGGATTGAGGGGTTTGTGTTCCACTAATGTTAGATTTGAACATTTTTTTGTTTTTTCTTTTGTTCTTTTTTTTTAAGACACTTTTAACGCAGTAGAAAACAGCAGCGCAGCCTCTTCTTATTCGTGTTGTTTGATATCTTGTTCTTAAATTAACTCGCGAATTCGTTCGGTTAATTTTTCCTCTTCGGTTATCGTATCTTGTTATTCATTTTTAATATTTGATATTATTATTATGGAATAGTTGAAAAAGAAATGGATTATGTATATATGATTTTTGTTTGTATCAATCGATCAATGATATATAAATTAGAAATAAATTTATTAACAAAGATTGTGACTTCGTACAAAAATATCTATAATGAAAAAACGTATTTAAATTGATATAAAATTGAAAATATAAAAAAAGAAAATATATCTTTTTCATTATAATATTGTTTCCCAAATATCTTATTACATAAATGTATTAAATTGTTGTTTTTTTTGTTTGTTTAAAATGATGATTTGATTGTGTGTTTAATATTGTCAATTAATTGAAATTTGAATAATTTTCCAGGTAAATATCGAGTCCGTCGTAAATTTCCATTACCAAGAACGATATGGGACGGGGAAGAAACGTCTTATTGTTTCAAGGAAAAATCAAGGAGTATATTGAGGGAATGGTACTCGACCAATCCATATCCATCGCCACGAGAAAAACGTGAATTGGCTGAAAATACGGGTCTAACGACAACCCAAGTTAGCAATTGGTTTAAAAATCGTAGGCAGAGGGACCGGGCAGCTGAACATAGGTAAGTTAAATGTTCATTTTAAATGATTCATTCAATATATTATCATCATCATCATCATCATAATCCTAGAAAAAGAAAAATAAACGAATTACACTAATAAAAATATAAGATTTGATATGAATACTTTATGAGTGTATACATACACACATACAT